AACCCACACCCAAAGCAACCCAATGAGAGACACACCCCCCCCCCCCGGCCCCATCCATGAGATTGTCACATAGGTGAAGCGGCGACCCTTTTGCCCACCCATATATATGTTTGCTGGAAGGGGGCCAGGGCCGTTCCTTATGGCAGAGCAATTATCTGTCCCTTGCCAGACCTTAGTTATTCCACCCCGCGCTGCTGCGGGGGGGGTTTCACTGTAAATAACATCTTACGAAAACATAAATCTTTGGGTGGAAAGGAATACACAGTGTGTGTATATGTAACGCATTATTATTATATTATACACAATTGGGTATTACACGATATGTGTGCATTATATATAATTTACATGTGCATGCATACATATTTATATATTAATATCTATATATATGAGTCTTGGCGCATTTTTGGAACCAGATTTTTGGCTTGTTTTCATCCCAAATCCCTCAATATTTCCCAAAAGCAGACTGAATCTCCACAACAGCCCAGTGCCAGCAGAGCCCCCAGAGTGGAGCTGCTGGTGGGCAGTGGGGGCCCAGCAGCATGCCTTTTTCTGTCACAGGAAATGTTTGTGAAGACAAAGGGGCTGCCTTAGCCTGGAGGTTCATCCATCCCTGCCCAGCTGCACTACCATCAACTCCAGGTAACCCTCTGAAATGGGTTTTATGCTCGGCTCCCAGTCCAGCCTCCCTGGTAGGTTTTCCTCTCCCTAAAGGATTCCGTCTACCGTCACATCACCATTTCCAGACTGACGCTGGTTTAAATGATCACCTCTTTTCCACTGTAATCAGGGACATGTTTACTCCTCGGCGTCTCGCTTCTCTATTTACGGTGACCTAAACCAGTGTCACTCTGCGCTTTGCAGCTGAGCAGCTCCGACAAGATCCAGAGGCAGGTAGAAGGTATCATCTGAAGCGTACTAAACTTGTTCAGTATTTAAAACACGTTGATCAGAAAAGGAAAGCCTTTATTATATTGAGTAGGATTGGCTTCTGGCAGCTCTGTCAACACAATAAACTGATAATTTCGGAAATATAGGCTGTGAATTGTATAATGTACCATATGACACTGGAGAACACTGTCTTATGCTCTTCACAATATTTAACCACAATGCACTTTTTTAAGATATTTGTTATGATCCAAAGATTGCTGTTATTCATGGATAGGACAATGTTTATTCTTATTACCTCTTCGTCAGATTTGTTACCTCCTATTTTAGGCAATGACACCGTGCCAAGGAGTAGAGTCTAACCAAGCTGGGCCTCCGCTGTAGAAGCCGCTGGGCAAAATGTACCTGACACGACAATCCCTGTTGAGAGGTGGCTTTGGGCAGAAGAAGGTTGGTGCAGGCCTGGGGGAAGGAAAATAAACATGGGGAGACCTGACACACCAGCTCACACTGGGAGGGCAGTGTCATCAAATGAGTCACAGAGCCCAGGGCGCCTCCAACCCTGCTGCACCTCTGAAAGGCAAGACATTGCAGCAGGACGAGAAGAAGAAGAGGGGTTAGGGGGAGCTGAGGAGAAAAAGGAACAAAACCAAAATCTACACACAATCAGGAGTTATACTGGAATAAGCAGTATTTTTTAATTCAAGAACATTTATTTTCAAGACTGAGTTTCCCCATTGAACATCACAATATACTTCCCTCTGGCCCAATTTCCTTTGCCTGCAAGATGGAGAAGTGTCCTGCAAGGTCGTGATCCAGCATGTACCGCTCCTCCCATGAAATAACATTTTCCCTTAGTTGTTAACATAAAGATTGTCACCATTTGCTAGCAAGGCTATTGAGGTGTCGTGAGCAGGTAGTCAGCAGAGTCAAAACAACACCAATCCCTGCTATGAACTAGTTAAAGTGTCATAAAAATTACTTTGATCTGTAAAGCTGTTATTTTAAGGAGAATAAATCTATCAATCCATGCTACAGTGACGCAGCACACCTTTGTTCCTCTATAGCTGCATCCACAGTTAAAGACTTCATTTTCATCCCTCTGGCCCAGGTAATTAGCCAATATTTGGGAGAAAAACAGCAAAGGGAATTGGATGAATTTAATATGATCCTGTTTATTGCTAAAGATTGTGAGGAACTAAACACAAGTGCCAAATTCCTTGCTTACATTTTCAAAGTTGAAGCTCCTTCTTGAGATCACACTAATATATTCCCTCATCTGCTTTAAGTTTTCTGGCAGCTTTATGCTTCTCACATCCAACTGTAACCTAGTTAGTGCCTCAGCTCCTTAATTTTCTTTAGTTGCAAGTCAAACTCCGCTTATTATTTATGATAGTTAAATTTTGCTCAAGTTTTCTATCTCGTTGCTGTACCAGTTTATGGTTTTCAATCTTTCCATTCTCATGCTCCATGAAGAAACTTCATTGCTTTTTATATTCCCCCAGAGTGGAGATCTACCATGCCCTTCAACACAGTCTTCCAGGTCACCTGGCATTGCCAACTACTGACATTCTTTTCTTGGGTCCATATAAGCATTTGGTATTGTTTCTTAAAACAATTGTTTCTTGGGAGAACTGTGAGAGAATGAAAAATGCCTCTTATAATGTTGTGGGACCAAATGGCAGAATAAATCCAGCCTGTTACTCACCTCAATCATCTCACCAGCTATCTACAGTTGCCACCTGAAATGGTACCTATGTCAGTATCTGCAGGTCACATCTCAGAGAGAAGGCATTAGGTTTAAAAGGACATGTGCAACTGCACTACAGTAGCAAGCAGGTTTATGCACAGCTCACCTAGTCATAGAATGGTTAGAGCTAGAATGGACCTTAAAAATTCTTCAAAGATTGCACACACATCCCACCCACCTCCCACCCCCCCTGCCACAGGCAGGGACACTTCCCACTAGACCAGGTTTTTCTAAGCCTCATCCAGCCTGGCCTTGAACATTTCCAGGGTCAGGGCATCCACAACTTCTCTGGGCAACCAGTGCCTCACCACCCTCACAGTAAAGAATTTCTTCCTGATATCTAATCTAAATTTCCTCTCCTCCAGTTTAAAACTATTACCCCTCATCCTATCGCTACACTCCCTCTTAAAGAATCTCTCTCCAGCTTTCCTGTAGGCTCCTTTTAGGTACTGGAAGGCTGCTATCACGTCTCCCCAGTGCCTCCTCCAACTCTGAACAACCCCAACTCTCTCAGCCTCATCTAGGAGAGGTGCTCCAGCCCTCTGATCATCTTTGTGGCCCTCCTCTGGTCCCATTCCAACAGGTCCGTGTCCTTCTTATGCTGGGGACTCCAAAGCTGGATGCAGTACTCCAGGTGGGGTCTCACCAGAATGGGGTAGAGGGGCAGAATCACCTCCCTTGACCTGCTGGCCACGCTTCTTTTGATGCAGCCCAGGATGCGGTTGGCTTTCTGGGCTGCCAGTGCACATTGCTGGCTCATGTTGAGCTTCTCAGCAGCCAACACCCCCAAGTCCCTCTCTGCTGCTCTTAATCCATTCTCCACTGGGTGGAGATTTGTGCTTTGGATTGCCCTGACCTACCTGCCCATCAGATATACTTTTACTTCTATACTCAAGAGGAAAATGTCATACACAGCGTGCATACGAAGCCATCGAGCAGAATGATGCTTTCCGCATTCTTAAGCGGGAATGACTGCGCACTCCTGGCTGAAATGCTTTGAAAATAACACGTTAAAACTGAAGATGCGATCGGCAGAGACATTATTCAAAACGAAGGCTCACAGACAAAAGGGCACTCCTGTCCCACCCGTGGGTATGCGGGAGGCCTGCCGAGCAATTGGGAGCTCCTCCACCGACACCTTCCCCGCGCGCCCCTTGTGAAGGAGGCTCGGGCCGCACACCGCAGAGCTCAGGCCCCCGAGACCTCTGCCACGGCGCCCGCGCTCCCGAGAGGCAGGAGCGGAACACAGGGCCCACTGCGGCACACGGGTGGGAGCGGGCCCGGGCCCGGACCAGGCCCCGGCCGCCTACGCACAGCGTGACCCCGCGCGAGGCACGCCGGGTAGACTCCCCCCACCTCCCACTACAACTCCCGGCGTGCCCCGCGGCACCGTAGCCCCGGCCATCTCGTCGGTTGCGGCGCGTCGGCCGTCAAGCGCCCGGCGCGGGGTGGGGGCGTCTCTGTGACGTGCCGCCGCGCGGCCAATTGCGGCGGGGAGAGCAAAACTGCCGGCTTTCAAATCCTCCGCCTCCCCCGCCCGCTCCCCACCCCGCTCCCCCTCCCCCATCCTTCCCGGCGGCGGCGTGCCCCCCCCGCCTCGCCGCCGCTGCACCGGCTCCTCGCGGCGCTCCCACGGCGGAGGCGATAGTACCCACCACCCCCTCGTGGGTGCGGGTCACGCCTGCCCGGTCGCCCCCGTGTGGGGCGGGAAGGGGGCAGCGGCGGCCGTTATATGGGGCCGATGCGGGTGGGGGGGTGGGCGCTGCGGGGGGAGCAGGTGGCGGCGCGGCCGGCGCTCGGCAGCTTCCTCCGGGGAGGAGAGGAGCCGTCAGCGGCGGCGGGAGGAGGAGGGTAACCTTGGGCTGTCACCCAGCGCACCGGGAGCCCGGCGCTGGGCCCTATGTCGCCGCCAGAGCGCCGAGCGCCTCAGGACAGCTCGGCGGGGGCCCGGCGTGACGCCCGTTG